GAGCGAGTCCATTAGATTAATAATTTTGGGGGCGTAATACGGGGACCAATTTGATGATGTGGTATGCAAATAGTCATGATTCGACTTCAGCTGTGCTTGTTTCTAAAATATGACCAGGGAAATGTGTTGATTTTGGCTTTTTCGTTTACATTTTCTGAATTTGTAAGTATTGGAAGTAAATTTGTGAAGCATCATAATAGAGATGAGGTAGATGTTGATATATATTTTTAATCATTCTTTAATGATATATTTTCATTGCTATGATATATTTGTCCTGATATATTTTCATTGCTATGATATATTTGTCCCAGATTGCTTGTCTCAGGAAAAAAAGTTAATTAACTGGAATTTTCATGCTCAGGGAGAGAGACATTTTTATACTACAATTTCATTTCAGCAAAATTAAGAATAAGCATGACATCATAGAAAGACAACAAGATTCTCAGATGGGCTACTAATAATTCTAAATCAACGTTGAGTCAACAAAAAATTATGAAACCTCAATTGCGTACCATCAAGAAATATAATTTTCACTAAATTCTGACATGATACTGATACAATATGCTTCTTTAATTTTCCTCGGCAAAAACCAACAAAATTTTGTCTTCCAATTCCTCTATAGATAGATACAACCTTAGATTGTGCTTACATCACATTCTGAACCAGAATCTGAATCTTAATATAACTCACCAGGTCGACTTCTATTTGTATTTGCTTCAAGTGGTGGAAGATCATCATCAACATCATCACCATCTGAAGTCAAATCCTCATTTTCAACAGTTGGTAGGTGTGATTGAGCCTTTGAATTCTCTGCTGCTTTCTCTCTGAAGATTGTAGGCCTGTACAATAACAATATTGATTCTAATCAACATACTAATTTATCTCAGTAAAGAGCAGATACAATGTTCAGATTTCACGAATATTTCTAGAAATATTGCAAGAATACGGCCAAACAGTAGGCATCAAAGTAACTTACCAATCTGAAGATTTTGCAAGATTCCTAACTTGGTCATGAAAAAAAATTTGTTAAACCATGCATGTTATCTTGTTACCAGATTCAAGAGCCTTGTGCATGCCACTTCCATCTACTATAACAAAAAACCATGCATGTTATCTTGTTACCAGATTCAAGAGCCTTGTGCATGCCACTTCCATCTACTATAACAAAGTTTCCTGTGTAGAAAAAGCAACTCAGATTCAAGAGCCTTGTGCATGCCACTTCCATCTACTATAACAAAGTTTCCTGTGTAGAAAAAGCAACTAAAAGTATTTTACATCCCTCCCTCTCTCTTTTTTTCTACAATATGCTCATGAACTTTTGGAGGGCCCTGCGTACTAATATTAGTTGTCAATAGGTATATCTTTTCTTTTGTATGTTTCTTCAATAGTGTGCGGCATTTTATACTGCAATGGTCAGAAGCACACTCAGGTTAGAGCACGAGTTTAAAATGTGTAGATGCGTATAGTCTTAAATATTTTTGATCTGGTTATAGGTATATCTTTTAGGGGAAAGATATTGATTCCATTAACTTCTGGAGCAGGGTCAGAAAGATGATAAGCAAGGAGCGCCCGTGTCATCATGTAGCTGAAATTAGGCGCTTCTTTGAAAACGCTATCCTTTTGCTTTCAGATACTTAAAGTTCAATACCAATTGTATTGCATATTTGCATGTTTATGAAGCACCTAGTTTCCCCTTTGTTTTCTTTCTTTTAAGATGGTAGGAGCAATGTACTGGCAAAACCAATTTCTTGATGCAGAACTGCTTTATGATGGAATTGATTCTTCAATTACTGGAAGCACACACACACTTTTGAGGAGGAAAAAAAACCCAGTTTTCAGGTGTTAATATTTCACACACATACATTACTGTCATATTTAAATACAAATACAAAGCAGTTTGCTAACTTACAAACGTGCACAACGTGCACAAGAAACCTGTAACTAACTAACTAAAAACTTAACCCACTAAGTAACCAACTAATTAACCTATGAAATGGATAACGTTACAAGATTAATTCAACATTCACCCCTTTAATCTTGTTGCAACTTGTTTCACATCCTTCAGTCCTATCTTACAAGATTAATTCAACATTCACCCCTTTAATCTTGTTGCAACTTGTTTCACATCCTTCAGTCCTATCTTCTCACGCAGCTCGACAAATCTCTGTCGACCAAGTGGTTTCGTCAGGATATCAGCCAATTGCTCCTCAGTCTTCACATGCACCACTTCAATTTCTTCCTTTTGAACACAGTCACGAATAAAATGATACTTGATATCAATGTGCTTGCTTCTGTCATGATGCACAGGATTCTTCGTGAGAGCAATGACTGATTTGTTGTCTACATTGAGGACAACTTTGACAGGTACACCTCCCTTAATTTCACTCAACAATCGCCCAAGCCAAATGCCCTGACATGTTGCTGCCGTAGCGGCCACATATTCAGCTTCGCATGAGGAGAGTGCCACCACCCTCTGTTTCTGTGATAGCCAGGTGACTGGATTTCCACCAAGAAAATAAATTACTCCCGTTGTACTCTTTCGATCATCAATGTCTCCAGCCAGATCACTGTCGCTGTACCCAATCAAGTGCTCCCCCATTTGCTTCTTCCTGTCATAACAACACCCAAAATTTAGAGTGCCACGCACGTACCTTAGTATTTGTTTCACGACAGTCATATGAGTTGTCGATGGCGCCTCCATATATCGACTCATCACTCCAACTGAGTAGGCTATGTCAGGTCTTGTGTTAAGTAGATATCTCAAACTCCCTATGACACTTCTATACAAAGAGGCATCAACTGGAGGACTGATATTTAGTTTACTCATTTTAAGTCTTGGTTCCATGGGAATTTGACAGGGATTGCATTCGGCCATCCCAAGTTTCTCTAATATCTTCAGTGCATACATTGATTGGGACAATGTGATGGTATGTAAGTTTTGTTTCACCTCAATGCCTAAATAATAGCTTAATAAGCCAAGATCACTCATATCAAACACCTTCTTCATCTGTTCCTTGAATTTCACAATGTGTTCGACACTTGACCCTGTGATGATAAGATCATCCACATAAACACCAATCACTTGGATTTCACCCCCAGTTTTCTCTTGTACACAGCATGCTCCATAGGACACCTGATGAATCCGAGTGATTGTAAGCATTTGTCAAGTTTTGAATTCCATGCTCGAGGTGCTTGACGCAATCCATATAATGCCTTTTTCAGCCTCAACACTTGTCCCTCATGGCCTTTGGCTTCAAATCCAACGGGCTGTGCTACATACACTTCTTCCTCTAGCTCGCCATTTAGAAATGCAGATTTTACATCCATGTGGTGTACTTCCCAGCTCTCTTGTGCTGCCAAAGCAATTAAGAGCCTTACAGTTTCTAATCGTGCAACAGGAGCAAATACCTCATTAAAATCCACTCCTTGTTTTTGTACATATCCCTTCTCCACGAGTCGAGCTTTGTGTTTTACTATCTCTCCTTCAGGATTTTTCTTCACCTTGTATACCCATTTCAAACCAATAGCACGGTGTCCTTTTGGTAATTCTGTAAATTCCCATGTGTTATTCCTCTCAATTGCTGCAATTTCTTCTGCCATGGCCTGTTTCCAACTCTCATTACCTGCTGCTTCTTCATAAGTTGCAGGTTCTTCTAAAGACAAAAAACATAGCCCTGCTTCATCGTCCATCTCAACTGTGTCATTGTACACATCTTGTAGAGAGCGATACTTATGAGGCCTCTCCGAGCTTGTTGATTGTTCTCCATCATCCTGTGCATTATTATGCTTCGAGGGAGTGTGAGGCACAGTCGCACCTTCACCCTTCTCAGATTCATAGTGCACGGTGAATGAACCACGTGAATAACCTCTAGAGTCTCCTTCTCCTTGTATATTCTCCCAATTCCATTCCTTATCCTCTTCAAATATTGTGTCTCTGCTTACACACAATTTCTTTGCATTAGGATCATAGACCCTGTATGCCTTTGAGCCTGGTTCATACCCCAAGAACACCATTGGCACGCTCCTGTCATCCAGTTTCTTCATGTGTGGTTTTACAGTCTTTACGTGCACTAAACTACCAAACACTCTCATATGATGTACCTTGGGTTTGTGGCCAGTCCATTTCTCGTAAGGTTTTGCACCTTCCACACTTTTTGTCGAAGCTCTGTTGAGTATATACACTGCTGTCTTCACAGCTTTAGCCCAGAATTCTGATGGAACATGTTTGCTCTTTAGTAAGCTTCGAGCCATGTTCACAATAGTTTGATTTCTACGCTCGACGACACCATTTTGCTGAGGGGAATATGGTGCTGTGAGGTACCTTTTGATGCCCATTTGCTCACAATATTCATTGAATGCAATATTTGTAAACTCACCTCCCCTATCTGTCCGTAGCGCTCGGAGTTTTGAATTTGATTCCAGTTCTGCTCCTGCTTTTATCTTCTTGAAAACAGCGAATGCTTCATCCTTGCTTCTCAAAATCTCAACCCACATGTATCTGCTGTAGTTCCTGTCACCATTCCCTTCTTCGTCATGTTCCTCAGTGCCTGGAAATTTAAATGGCCATAACGGGCATGCCACAACCATTCAACTTTAGTTAACTTCCCCATTAAACACACTGAGTGAGTTGTCTTCAAATTTAGAATATACAATCTATTCCTCGATCTTCTTACTCTCGCCAGCAGCTTTCTAGCTCTATCATACACCAACAAACATCCATCTTCTATTACAGTTTTGCATCCATTCTCATCCAATTGACCTAGACTCACTATATTGCTACGCAATCTAGGTATGAAATAAACATTTGTAAAGAGTCGATGCTCACCATTTTGACACTGAAACATCACGGTTCCTTTTCCTCGAATGTTCACAACAGAACCATCGCCAAACTTGACCTTCCCAGTCACACTTTCATCTAGTTCTGAAAACAGCTCCTTGCAACCCGTCATGTGGTTGCTTGCTCCAGTGTCAAGAAACCAACCAGAGTTGTCGTGCACCACTTATTCTCCTTCATTCAACTTTGGCTTCACTTTCTCCTCATAGAGCATCACTTCCTCTGTTGTGATCTCCTTATGATTCTCACACTCACAAATTTCCATCGCTAAGAGTGCTGGTTCTTCATCATCCTCTTGCACCTCCACAAAGTGTGCCTTTTCATCCTTCTTCTTAGATCGACATTCCGAGGCAAAGTGCCCATAATTTTGACAAGCGTAGCACCTTACCTTGGACTTGTCGAACTTTCTCTCATAATGATTTGATTCATTCCATCGACCACCTTCACCGTGCCCGCGACCACGACCACTGCCATACCCATGGCCACGACCACGTCCACTACTCGTTCCTCGTCCTTTATATGAATTAGACGAGCTCTCTCCTTTCACTTGTTTCCCTTTCCACTTTGCACTTGTCAACAGAACGTGTTCATCCTCATTGTCACCATAGCCCCGCACTCGTTCTTCATGAGTCTTGAGTGATCCGATGACCTCCTCAACTGTCATCGTGTTGAGATTTCCAAATTGTTCAATGGTGGATGCAATTTGAAGGAACTTAGGAGGGACTGCACGAAGAAGCTTTTTGACAACATAGGCCTCATCTATCTTGTCACCCAATGCACGAATCTTATTGAGAATGGTGGTTAACTTTGCACCAAAATCATCAACTGTCTCCGCTTCACGCATGCGAAGACCCTCAAACTCACTTCTCAGAGTCTGAATTTTTGCTTCCTTGACACGCTCAGCGCCCATGTGCACTGTCTTCAACATCTCCCATGCTTCCTTGGTCGTCTCCTTCTCAGCTAACACAAGAAGTGTCTCCTCGCTGATGGCTTGATAGATTGCAGCAAGAGCCATCTGATCTTTCTGCATCTCTACCTCGTCATTGGGGTCTGCAGGCTCAATAGCATCCCATACACCTTGTGCACGCAAATACACTTTCATCTTAAGTGCCCATGCTGAGTAATTGCTCTTCGTGAGCAATGGGTACTGAAGAGTCCCTTCTCTTCCAGTTGTCTTCAGCATCACTGTGTTGCCAGATCCGCTGCTTGATGGTGTTGTGTCCGCAGGCATAATTTTTGGCATTCAATCCCAAACAGGCTCTGATACCAAATGATGGAATTGATTCTTCAATTACTAGAAGCACACACACACTTTTGAGGAGGAAAAAAAACCAGTTTTCAGGTTTTAATATTTCACACACATAAATTACTGTCATATTTAAATACAAATACAAAGCAGTTTGCTAACTTACAAACGTGCACAACGTGCACAAGAAACCCGTAACTAACTAACTAAAAACTTAACCCACTAAGTAACCAACTAATTAACCTATGAAATGGATAATGTTACAAGATTAATTCAACATTCATATACCTACAAGTTTACACTGTAGAATTTGTACATAGTTGCGTGTATGTCCTTCAGTTATGTAGTCTCAAATCCCATGAGCTTCTGAAGCCACGTCACATTGGAGTATGTCTATATGTTTATAATTTAGCCTGTCAACTGTATAAAGGTGTAATGTTAAATTAAAAAAATACTTCCAATGTGATAAATATATGAAAATACTTTGTTGCTTGCATTATTCAATTTTGGGATAATTGTTGCTGTGATCTATCATATATTTATCGTAAGCTGGTTATGTGTTTTTATCATATATTTTTGTAATTACTTGTGGTGGTCCTATCATGCTTTGGCCTGTTTGTCCTCAAGCACTTGAAATCAGATAAGAAAAATGAGGACAAAGGGGTAGCTGTGGACGGTTTCTTGCCTGCTGGTAAAGCTTATAAAGCAATACAAGACTCTATGTAAGTGATCTTTTCTTTTGTGGTTCTTCATGATGTCTGCATATTGTACAGTTCATATCGTGCTCCTCTACTGAAGGGGTTTGCACAAAAGCATTACATCCAAAAAAAACTTGGTGGTTACGATTTTGCATGTTTATTTCCTTTGGGTTCAGTCAGTTTGGCAATCTATTGCATATAGCACATCACTGAAAAAGAAGGAATAATAGCAGGTCGTGATGTTCCACTGATTTAACTGTCAGTAATGTGGAATGATGTGTTACCCTCTGCTGTTTTTTATTTCTTCTGCTCGCTTAATTTTTTTTTAAATTGTTAGGGACTTTAATGGAGCCGACATAATGGAGAGCCTCGAGATATGGTGTTTTTCCTGAGAATGATGAGGATCTGAAGTTGATCGCGCTGCAGGTGCTTCCTTGAACTCGAAAATATTCAAGTGTATGCAAGTACACGATATAACTCGCATGAAAAGAAGTATATCTTTCTAATCAAGTGAGATGGTGAGGTAAGTCATCCTATGATTAATATTTTAGCTTCTGAGCTGTGTGAAAGTGCATCGCTTGCGTCTTTGTATGATTTGCTTCAAAATTAAGTGATTTGCTGCCATCAAAATGTGTTTGTACTGGACCTTGATTCTCATTATAGGCTTTACAAAAGCTATATACATCATGAAACCTTATCATTTTAATTGCAAAAGTGGAAGAGATGCTTATGTAGATTCCACAAGAAGCTAATGTATTGGAAAAGAGGAGAGCAAAACGAAAAGTGAGCTATCACTAGTGGAAATTGGGGTTTCCTTGACGGCAACATCGCTGACAGGGTATTCCCGTCAGCGTTGTTTTTATCGCTGACGGGAAATCCCATCGGCGATGTTCCCGTCAGGGTGTCTTCATTCCCGTCAGCGATGAAAATATCACTGACGGGCTGTAAACATCGCTGACGGGAACCCCGTCAGCGATGTCTGCTTTATAAATCTCACTGACGAAATATTTTTCCACAGATCGAAACCCTAATTTCTTCGCCGCCGCGCGCCCTCGTTCCCCTCTCTCAGCTCAGCCACTCGCCGCCGGCGAACACCGCACTCTCGCGGCCAGCCTAGCCCGCGCCATCACCTTCCCCTCCCCCTCTTCGACTCCACCATCCGTGGCCCCGATCAAGCTCACCGACGACCTTGGAGCTCGCCGCCGCACCGCCCCGTCGCCGACTCGAACAGTGGGCGCCTGAGCTCTCTCGTCTCCTCACCCGTCAGCAGCGTATGATTCCTTTGATTTTTTTTATTTTTTTTTTGATTTTAGGTTTTGTTGTTTTTACTAATTTGAGATCTGATTTCTTGGATTGTAGCGCAGGAGGTCTAAGTGAGTCTTACGTTTTGTTGGATTGCATTGCAGGAGATCCAAGCGGTAATTTTTGGTCATTGTCGCATTTTTGTGTATAGAATTATACATAATTAGTTGTAAAACGAATAATTAGTTGTAAAATGACCAAGCTGGCTGATATTTACAAATAGCTGTAATCTAGTTGAGTCTCATTTTATTTGTAAAGTTTAACATACAAACTTAAACAAAATTAAGCATATGCTGTAATAAAGTGGTTATATAGCATGACAGTTTTTAGTCTAAAGTGCAATCACTACTAAATTTTTTTTTGTATGAAGTTCATCTCTAAATTGGTTCAGAGATAGTGCTATTCTGAGAGAAAAGTTCATGAAGAAAACAAAATTAAGCATATGCTGTAATAAAGTGGTTATATAGCATGACAGTTTTTAGTCTAAAGTGCAATCGCTACTGAAATAATTTTTGTATGAAGTTCATCTCTAAATTGGTTCAGAGATAGCGCTATTCTGAAAGAAAAGTTCATGAAGAAAATAACGACATAAGTAACTTCGGTAACAGAATTTGACCTTACCTTAATTCCACCTTTCTGAGAGAAAAGTTCATTAAGAACAATAGTTATCAGAAAGTTACCACCTTAAGTTTGAACAATTATCAGATAACCTGCATCATATGATACAGTTGACCAGCTGCTAATTTACTCTCTAGGTCTTTATTCTTTTTTGGTTAATTTATTCTCTTGTGGGTAATTACAAGTTTTATTGTGTTATATATCATGATTTATTAATCGAAAGTCGTTACCCCTAGTTTCCCGTCTAATAATGTTGGATATGAATCTCTTCTGATATAAACTCACGTAATTCTACTTTAGGATGTGAAAATACTTTTTACAATTAAAGGGAATAACGTGATTTATGTTAGGAGCATGATATACATGCAATAATTATTAGATCTATCCGTGGAGGAGTCCCCTTCTCGTACAGGTTAGGAATACAGTAGTGTATCATCTATCTTTATATACTTTATACATTTTTATTCCTTAAAAATTTCGATAACACGTACCGCATTGTTCTCCGTGTACAATAAGCGTATGTTGTTTTGCGTATCGATCCATAATCGATCTATTATCGATGTATATACTTTATGCATTTTTATTCCTTAAAAATTTCGATAACACGTACCGCATTGTTCTCCGTGTACAAATAAGCGTATGTTGTTTTGCGTATCGATCCATAATCGATCTATTATCGATGATTAATACGCATTATAACATCCGCACAGTGTACTCGGAGAACTGCGGGTAGGTGCTGCCGAAATTTTCAAGAAATAAATACGCTTAAAGTATATAAAGGTAGTTGTAGACACTACTATATTCCTAATGGGATAGGTCCATTTCCTATGACAGCCGTTAAATTGTCTTATTTCAAATATGAGCGTTAGATTTTACTCCCACATAATTTATGTTCTGGTAATTTTCCCTCCGAGATTATTATAATTAAAATTTCCCTGATGTCGTGAAGAAAGTTAATATCATGCAACCTTTAATTTGATGCGTTACTAATAAAACTTAACATTACCTAATTATGCTTAATATCATACAGATCTATGATGATACATGACATTAAAGAAAGGCATATGAAGGAATTCCCTGCTTGGTTGAATAGTGAAGTAAGTATTGTTAAATTTAGCGATATTTGTATTTCATTGATAAAAAACTTAGAAATGTCTTGATTTAATAGTTTGCTTATTTTTGTATATATTTAGATCCAGGAACAACTTGTCCTTAATAATCAAATATCAGAAGAAGTGAAGGTTCACGCAAAGCGGCCTTACTATGCTGTAATTCAATATGGTGGGTATCGTGTTAACGGTTATAAATTTCACACAATGGAGGTTGATGATACGAAGGTCACCCAGAATAGTGATGTCATGGCTACCTCTTCACGGGAATGTTTCTCAAACAGAAGATATCAGAATCCAGTTGAAAATAATATGACATATTATGGAAGGTTGGAAGATGTGGTGGAGATATTCTACGGCTATGGTGGTCCAAATGAACATAAATACATTATGTTCATGATTCGTTGGTGTTTTACAAAGACTCAAAAGGATCCCTTTGGATTTACAATTGTCAATCTCGATAAAGAAATTGATAGTGATGAAAAATTCATGTTTGCATCTCAGGTGGGACAATGTTTCTATGTGAAAGATCCTACAGTTAAAGACGAGTGGGTTGTCTTGTACAAGGATTCTAGGGCTTATATTCAACCTTCCACGAATGAAGATGATGACGAGAGCTATATAAACAACTTCAATAAGCCAAATACAGCGATCGATGAATTCTCGTACCCTCAAAACGTAGTGTTTGAAACGGATGCTCCAACAACTCGGACAGACATTCCAAATATTATCACAGACATTAATAGGAGCTAAACAGCAATTATTTGTAATCGGGTCTTCATGTAACTTTTTTTAGTTTGCAAATTGTATAATAAAAACTTTAATATCACTACAATGTATCTCAATTACCTTTTGGACGATATAAATATGTAATATCTTATTTTGTATATTCAGCTTGCAAATGCCTACAAACTTGATGTGAAATGAAAAATTTAGTAACGCAACAATACATATTGTTTTTATTTTCGCCAAGCCAATTTGCATCTATGTAATAATAATTTGTATGTTTATTCAACTTGCAGATGTCTAAAAATATTAACAGGAGGTTATTCGAAGCTAACCCCAGTCGCCCGTCAGCGATAGTCCTTTCCTGACGGGACTATCGCTGACGGCGTATCCTTGACGGGACGCCGTCAGCGATACGTATCGCTGACGGGAAATGGGGCATCGCTGACGGGAATGCCCGTCAGCGATACATGATTTTTCACTAGTGTCTATACTTAAAGGAGGATCCAAATTTTAATATATTTGATGTACGGCAGCAATTAGGAAAATCCTTTTGACAAAATGTACTGATGTCAATGTGTTTTATCCTCCCATTCAAGAAAACATTCTTTCTAATTTTATAATCGCTGAGAATTAAGAAGTAGATAAATAATTAACAACAGAAAGTTACTTTTGATTAAACTAATATTATCAGCAACTAATTAGTAAAATACATTCGCTTAACCCAATAAAATCCAATGGCAAAAGCCATATTGTATGCGCATGCAAGCGCATATATCCGCTTTTACCCAGGCATGAAATCACATTTAATTCCGTATCCATGACGTGGAGCTTTTGTTTTCTCTAGCATTTCGTGGATCATGTACGCAAACCGTCGTCCCGCGTATATTGTTATATTTTATTTTTATGGAGCTACCCTTAAAATGTTAGTACCGTGCATCGTCTTCTTTTAGCAAAGCAATAAATTTCCTACCTCTTAACGTTTATTAAGTAAGGTGACAGCGGCCGAAACGGAGCAATTACTACTGTTATGAGGCGGCAACGTCAACGCCTTCTTGATTCTAGACCAAAATTATGGACCCACATTCTAGATATATGCATGCCATCTAGATTTTCACGCACGTGTAATGAGATCTAGCTAGAAATAGCGTCACGGCATCATGAAAATAAATAACGACGATGTGAAGGGCGCATAACAAATACCATTTCAAACGGTTATAGTATCCGTTTTGATTTCTTTGGTTTACATATGTTGGTCTTTACATCTTTCGAATACGTTATGGTTATTAATTTGATGAAGGTTTTTAACTAGGCGAAGATAAGGTTAGGCGTTCATTTGTCATATTCTGGTAAGATATAAGGCCATATATGATCGACTAATTTATAATAACATATTATAATAAGATATAAGGTCATACGACTAATTTATAATATGACACGTGTCATGCATTTTAAATGACACGTATCAAAATTTCGTGAATTTAGGAGAACCATCAATTTCTTATTATATATAAAGTAGTGTTATGATTATGAATTTTTTTAAATTATGGATAAAGCTGTAATTTGATTAGGATTATTAAATATTTGATTATTAGAAAATTTCAATTACGGATGATTTCGATTTGTTGAGAATTCTTAATTGGGCGAAGATAAATTTAGTTGTCCACCTGATATTTTCTTATGGAATAGAAGGACACATATTTACTTTTTAATTAATACATGTTTACTTTTTAATTAATACATGTCATACGTTTACGTAACACACGTAAGTTTTTGTGACTTTCGGACGATCACCCATTTCGAGGGAATTGCAACCTTGCTTATTTGTGCATTCATATATTAACCGGGTCGTGTTTTCCTCTTTTGCGATTTTGG